ATATATTATTTTACAGCGTTTGTCACCTCAGAACCGTTGCTAAGGCACTGCCCTCGTATACGATCTGCCTGTGCAACAGGAGGGGCAAACAACTTTGTCCCCGTCTCTGCATTTAATTTCAGCTTTCCACTAGCCATCCGTCCCAGCTGATAGCACTGGTCAGTCGTGCACGCACTAGGATCTACTGGCCACTAACGATACACTCTAATAGCTTCTAAAAAAAGTATTTTTCCCGGCCGGTAAAAAACCGTTAGGATATCGCGGGCGTACGTCCTTGTATCCCTGTAGCTCTCTCTTCTTTACGACCTCCTCCTCTAAAAAATTGCCGTTACCGTTGAGACTTGCTGAGTCCACGAGATACAGCTGTCCGGCCGTGCTGCTCTGTTCGATTAGGCTATCGCACAGGCGGTAAGGGACAAAACAGGAGGCAATTTAGATGCTAAACAGGTGGAAGGAAGCTCGCCCGCCAATACCTTCAATCTGTCTGAGATAGTGTATGTTTATGTATATGAGAAATTTAGTGAGTGACCGAGTGCATCATATGCTTTTTTGGTTGGCCACAACGTGTGCTACCTGTTGTTGATTTGTTACGCCTAGTTTACAGCTTTCTCCCCGCCTGCGAGAGCGCAGTAAAATCCTCAGCCTCAGCGGAAACAACCGACAGCTAACTATCCTCGATTTGCAGGGCTCCTTTCTCATATAAAGAGACAGTAAAGCCATAAAAAATGCCAAATGGCTACTGGTTTTGCTCTTGCTTCTCACTGGTAACGGCTGCACCCGGGAAGGGCTGGCAGCAGAGGGATGGAGTGAAGTAAATCGGCAAAGCGATGTCACCGTGTGTCGTCCTCGCTGTCTACTGAAAATCCGTGGTGGAACTTGATAACAATGATCTGCAATCCGCTCTCAGTTCCCTTTTTCCCTACGGCTAAAGAAAAGAAAAAGAACAAACGACATCGGCATCGTACTGATTATGGTCAACCATCTCAGAGTCAGTAAAATTGGTGGTCATCATGACGAAATCAGCACAGCGTATGCTCAGTTGGTAGAGCGGATGGGGCAGTTCAGCAAAAATTATGAGGCCTGATGATTTTTTTATAGTTCCATTTCATCTTGCTTGTCCTTGTTTTTTTGCCAAAAAAGCATCATCGACGGCAACAAAAATACTGAACAATACGGATGGATACAAAATGCTTCTGTTGCGGTTTAAACTTTGCATCGTCGTCGGCGGGCAATTTTTATTATCACTATTTTTGGTTTCGACTACACCCTTTTGTTGTGGGATACGTAGCGTTTCCGAAATAAGACATTGGCAATGTTTACTCTCATAAACGGGAAGTTATCGTCGGGTGAAGAATTGTGCTTCTTATTGGCTTTGAGACAGAACCACTGATTTTATATAGTTTTATAATGTTTTGAAAAATTCTTAAATCGCGTAACACATTGTATATTGCGCACTGAGCAACCGGTCTAATAAGTACGTCCATGAGCATCACCGAGTTTGTCATATGATAAAGAATGCATTTAAGAAGAGCTAAAGGTTTTTATAATGGCCTATATGGTAATAGCTAAGTGAAATGTTTCTTTGGGATTACGGCATTAATAAAAATAGTGGATGAAAACCAGATAAAATATGTTATTCACGTACGAAAGTCTCACGTAAGAGAAAAGTCGAGTTTCCCACAAGAGGCCTACTGGTCAAACAGGCCATGCGACCGTTTTCAGGAAAGGAAGCCGTGAAACAATATTGGTTTATTTAAATTTAATGCTTACCGATGTTCTGATTATGGACAAACCTTTTGGCGTATTCTAATAATAAGACAGTATAATTGAAGCACTAAAGAGATGCTACATACATAAAACGTTCTTAAAAGTACTAACATCGACTAAGGTTACATGTTTATCATCGTTGATGGCTTCGTTCTTCTAGCCCTTTTTTTACAGAAACATTAATTAAAATTCGATGGATTAACCAGCGTGTTTTTCGGTTTCCAAATAAACAAAACTCGAACCAGATGTCTATGACGCCTGTGGGTCTCGCGGTATTAGATGCAGCAGAACGTTATTCTTTTTGCATTTGTGCGATCGACCCCCCTACGCGCAGATCTGTCCTGAAAATCCTGACTTGCTTTAACCGAAGTGAATGCTTCTTATCGAATTGGTAATAGAAAAACTGTTCCTGTTATTTAAGCCCTGTTGGTCAGATCGTGCTTGTTATTATTTTCACGATAACTGATTTTAATTGAACAGCATTCTGAAGAACTAACAAAAGGCCTCAAAAAGGTATGAAAAGGTGCTAACCTTGTGTAGCTTAAACTAATGCGCGATCCAAACCCTTGGCGACTAGGCATATTTTTAGAGTTACGTTTTTGTAAAGAAATATTAACAAATAATGCCACTTGATTTTTTTGATCACTTGATGATGAGGGAGATTTTGACTTTGCATTTACACGGTCCGTGCGCGGAAACTGAAGTGAGGCTTATTGCCGTTGATCTCTTGTACGTCTCTTGTACACGTTTACCAACACTTTTTTCAATTCAGTGTCTATCCACTGATTGTCGACATTGGGAATTTATCTGCTTATGCTCATAAATGGTCCATATTATACCAGTCTATGCTTAAGCAGTGACTTTTTTACTAACGCTGAACCATGTCTCTATTTATGGACTACATCTATTTGAAGTAGATCTGCTCAAATCTATCCCCTTTCAAATGAAGCGCATCAGCTTAATTATATCACTTCGATCATCAAGTATGATGATCGGAACCCATTTTGTCTTAGTGTACATATCATTACATAATATTATAAAACTACACTTCCCAAAGCCCCCTGCAGCTTAACATTATGCCACGTCGTTTCGACCTCAAGTATTATCTAATACATATATATATATAGTCAGGTAAAGTCCAAACTCTATGTACAAGGATCGGCCATAGTGGAACTGTATTTCCGCCATAGAAGTACCGGAAATCTATGAACGTCTAGCCCAGTAACATTTTGTGAATAAGGAATTTGTGCTAAATTGAAGCATTTACTTGTATTGATGTAAATAAATCCTTACATTTGCAGATATAACCATTAATCTATTTAAGTATTTGTAGGATACAAGCATTTTCTTGTATTTCAAGTGTTGCTGTTGTTGTTTACAAGACGCCGTCTGTAAATGGCTGCTGCTATCAGCATATCGATAGGTTCTACACTCTTGTAGCGTCAAGTGATATTTTGGTAATTTTACTGGTGATCAGAGAAGCATCCGCTGAATTTTGTTCGTCTTTTCGTGCAAAAATCCCGCCGAAAAGCTCGAAAAATGTTCGACGAATCTCTGAAGAGCACAAGCAATAGACGTAGAAGTTCGAGGCAAAATTTAGCATTTCCATATTGTTGGCGATAGCTCGAAAAATCTGTAAGACACAGGATATGACACAGGACAAATAGCAAACAATAAGTTATCAATGTTTAGGTTCTAGCCCACGCTTGCCAGTCGTCTACAGGTACATTTCTTCTATGTACAATATCCCATTTAACTTTACTGCAGTTGCCGTAATTTACTTAAGTAATCACTTTATCTTTGAGGTTGGGGTTAGCTTCCAGAAAGTTGGTAAAAAAATTCGCGCCGAACCGCTATCAATCGATATTTTTCTAGCTATCTGAAACACGTTTTTTCTTGTTTTTTTTTTTTTAAGAAAGGTATACTTTTCTAATGGGAAGGCCTCTGGCCTGAAGCGATTAAATGAACGGCAACATATTGTTGCTTAAAATTTTTTCAAGTACCCATTGTCGCTACGTCCGCTTGTTTATTTCCAGTTTTATTTCTATGCATTCTCTCTTTTAATCCGCTCCAGTCTATGAGTTCTTTTGAAGTGCGCGACTGCATATGTCATCAGACCACCCACTAACTTTTTATGGGAAGGAGCGTCGCATGTAGCGGCAATAAAGAACGCCACCTTGAGGCGTATATCGTTTATCGTTAAGTCGTTCTGTATTGGCCGTGTCTATTTTTTTAAATCTATGCGATCATTTTTGTTATCTGGTATGGTATTGTTGCACGGTACGGTACGCAGCCATATTCGCGTTAAGTAACGTTATCAACATGTAAATAGCGAGACCTCTAAATGAGAGTGACGAAATCATAGAAGAGATGAACGCTAGAAAATGGAACGACTTCAATATTGAAAATAGAAGAAGACCTTGATGATAAACCGGAAACTTAGTCTTTATTTCTCACACGAATAGGGTCACGGATACTACGGTATGAAATACCTAAAAGTTATCTAAAGTCGCTTACTATTTTTATCCAGTTTCATCCTGTTATAATATGTTTCGTGCTTTTACTATGCCCTTTTTATCCTTGTTTTTTTCTCTAGTAACGGAGGCAAAGACTACTATATGTATAAATTTAATTATAAATATCGACGTCTGCCTTTTCTATATAAGCGTAATGTTTTTTCTCGTGTGTTAGCAAAACAAATGTAATTAAAAAAATTTTTTACGTGACCTTAAGGACTTGTCGGTGCGAGGTCCGATAACTGAAACGGCGATTGCTCTCTATTAGAAAAGTTCAACGATACTTGATTGCCCGCCGATTAAGGGCGTTAAAATTGATATAATCGTACGCGCTATGCGCTGCGCAGTTTTTCAACTTAGCCAGCTTTGTTACCGAAGACAATGCTGTATTTTTTGTACGCCGTCCAAACAAAGGAAGGATGTCTTTTAAATTTATTAATATCAAAAAGACTTATTTGAGCTGTCGCCAAATAAATCCTATATCGCTAGGAGAAAACTCCGAAATTAGGTGTTATTTCTCGTAGAAAAAATGAGCGGCTACTTACAAAAGATAAGACGTTTGTTGCTAAGGGTACCACCATAAAACAGTATGGGAAAACCTTCGCACTAAGAACAAAGATAGAGTTATGTGAACGTCCGCGTTATGTATGTTGTGTACGGGACTATCTGAACACAGGAAGGTAGTTGTGCCACCAAAGCTTCAATCATATGTGAGTCGGATTCGTTATTTACGATCGTATGGGAATGTTGCTTGGATTAGCAGAACAGTCTTTTTTTTTTTTGTAGATAAACAAATCACCAGCCGAACCCGGATTGAACACATCCTTTCGCTGTCTCAAGTAGAAAAATCACAGTGTAGCCTAAAACTAATTGTTTGAATGACACTTGCCTGGAATGGTAAATGATTTTCGTAGTGGTCCGAAATGATGACGGTGAGAATTGCTGCAGGCGTCATGCAGATTAGAAACATAATGACGATGGCCACAAGCAAGATTACAAGTCTTTGTTCCTCTGCCAGTCTCTTGCCTTCTGCAGAGCTGCCGAGAAGCGATGCACGCTTCTTTTGCAATCGTCGAAACGTAATTATAATGCACGTGTTCAGAATGACAACGACAATAGCGGGACCTACACGTACAGCCACCTCTTTAACAAAGAGGTAGACTTTGAATGCCGGATGGGTTGACACTTCGCTCCATTCGCACGCGTAAAACTCAATTGGATTTATGGTGCGGTTTATCGTAGCGTTTGTCGTCATCTTCACGAACGGAACGGGGTATTTTTGGAACGCTACTGGTATGTAAAGCAGGAAAGCAAACACAAACGACATTGTGATAGCCACACGTGCCTGACGGTCATTGTGAATATCAGCATATCGGGTGGGTAAGCACACGGACCAATAGCGGTCAATGGTAACCGCCACAACGAGAAACACGCTGGACGCCATGAAAGCGTTGACCAGAGGCATCTCCAGATGGGCGAAAAAAAACGCCGTCGAATAGTCCTTCGCGTGTATGCCGGCTAAACGCAGCATGGATACGGAACCCATCAGTAGCACGGCTAAATCCGAGATCGCTAGCCAGGAAAGGTAAACAAACGTCACCCCCTTCAGGCTCGGTCGTGTCAATACAATGAGATTGATCACATTGCCAATAACACCCAGTACAATTATCACGGGAAACACCACACTGTACGCGACGAATTTCACCATTTTCACTTCCTGGAACTCGCTATCCACAGGGTCCATTGTTAAGCCACCGTCGAGATCATCTAAGCGCAGCGACGTCCTGTTGACATTCATCCAATCGCTGGCGTTGCCAGATATCCCGGCTATCTCAAGCGATGTGCAATGCATTTTGAGGCTGCTTGGAGAAGATGTTCCGGCTGGCCAGCGCTGATTTAAAGAGAGTTTTGTACTTTGCTAATATTTTTCATCTGTGTCCTGGATGGGCCTCCTGCAAATACGAATCCAGCGAAGCAACGTACGTTAGTTATTCGATACATGCTTTATTAGCGTTATTTGTCGTTGAACATGTAAGCTTTCGAATTCTAACAATTCGCAGAGCCGAAACCTCTCTTTACCTCTAACCATCATCGACAGGATAAATAGAACAAACAGTACAAATATCCTTGTCGGATTTTATGAAGCATTTTTATTTTTGAAAACCAAGCGCTTATGTTTACTATAACTTGCTCTTTGAAGAGTAGCCCATCACCCAACGATTTGTATAAAGAGTACTGCGATTAAGTTTTGCAACCTTAGATGGCAATAGTTGAAGAAAAGAAATGTCGGAAACAGCATTTGGCCAGCTCACATTTTAGAATGCGATAACATCAAAATAATTGGATGTTCTTCAAGTCCAATGCTATCGTGTGCATACGTTATCATCTATATTCTAAAAGCAACGAGCGAAACTCAATTTACGTCTATTAACGAGCTAAGCAAGTAAGTCTTAGATACTTATTAAATATTCATTTTTCAGCATTTAACAAACAGGACCAGGGTAGTTAAGTCCAAGGAGGACAATGTTATTTAATGTTTCCGTTGCAAAAACAGGACTGACGAAGTAACTTGATTTGTCTAGAAATGCATACAAAAGCACCTGCCACGAACTTCAATTAGTTCAGCGAGTACTTATCGACACGCTATCGACAAGGCTGAGCTTTTCTGCCACTTCCTCTCATCGCACCCACTATGCGAAAGCCCGTGTCTTGCAGCCGGCAAGATTATGTCGGTAAACTGAGACAGAGAGACCCATACTGACCACCAACTTTGCTGCGACGCTTGTGAAACGAACAGAAATCCGTGCTTAATTAATCGATGCGGAAAAGAGTCCATCCAATGAAAATTTCCCTTACCCTAAGCCTGCGACAAGGACCGCAAAAATCGTGTTCGATCTCTGATCGAACAAACGAACAATATGTAACTTCGCAATGATCGCATTATTTCCAGTAGGCTGTGTCTACGTTAGGCGCGAAGCATTAGTTGGAACAAACAGCGCTACTTTTAGACCAATCGTGCGCATATAGACAACGATTGCAAGTAAACTTCCGCGTGATATTATTTTTCTCCCCATGAAGCAGTTGGTAGTGGCCATACTAAACTTCAAGCGAGAATCCCCCTGATCCAGTCATTCCTCAATATATATCTATATAGCAATACAATGCCCATGTGTAACTCTAAGTAACAAATGCCCTAGCAGGTATACAGGGTAGAGTCAAAAAGCTGCAGATAATGACAGTAGTAACCTCCTATTGCATGAAAAATCATTTTTCGAGTAATTAGTTTGATAAATAAGCTCTCCTAAGGCCACGGCGAGATATCTAAGAGGTAGAAAATAGAAGACCAGGTTCTGTTTCCGACTTCGAACCCACCGTTCCCTTATAGTTGGCTAGCAGATGCAATTACCCGTTACATCCGTCCTCCTCTCATCTAGCAGAAAAACGATACTGATCGACATCGATCCATGCTGCGCCACCATTCGTCAGTTACCTACTTTTCTTTGGATGGACGCAGCCGTAGCTGAACAGCTACTGCCGTTGTCTCCGATACAACAGCATCTATTCCGATGTAGTATCTGTGGCCCCTCGTAAGGCCTTTACGACGACTTTCGACCCGTGAGAATTCCTGCGATCAGCTTGCTTCTGTTGGTTATCGTGCTTTGTCTGTTCAGCACAATTATTTCATCTTTCTCCCCTAGAAATAGTTGACCGTTACTATGTTGTATATCGGTCGACCGTACATCTACTGATCGTCCAGAAGTCTTCTTAACCACGGAGTCTTGACACTAGCGCCGTCTAGGACAGTGCGTAACTACATGGCGCCACCATAGCAAGTCGTTTTATAGCTAGTGGAAATCTAGTTTGTTACGGATAGCCATTGGGTAAGGCAGGACCGAGGGACATGCCAGGAGAATCTAAATGATGTATAATAAAATATGAAATGTTTGTTATAACCCGAAAGCAGTACAACGACTCCAATGTGATAAAGAATGAATACGGGGAGATACGTTCTGGGGGAGCGAATGGTGGTAAACATAGGTTATGTTAGATAAATTTATGAAATAGATAGATTTTTCAGCTGGGCAAGCATTTGTCATGTACTTGGCTTTTGCTGGCGAAGCCGGAAGGCACCATAAAAGGCTAATATATTTGCGTAGATGTAAGTAGCTTAAAACTATATATCTATGTAAAAGAAGCAAGCTTTCAAGCGATATTCGCATAAGTTAATTTTATTGTAGCCCTCTGCTAAATGTCGCCGTCCAAGTGACGGCCTATCCGATGTCGCCAACCAAAAAAAAAAAACAAATCAATCGCCTAGTTTGTAATATTGCTTTGGTAATTCTGTGTAGCTCAAGCGCCATGCTACCGCCGCTCCTACTTAAACAATTAGGAATGGTTTGGCTGATTTCGTCATCTTATTTAAAAGCCATAAACGTCCGTCTTTTGTTCAATGCAATTGTTAGGATAATCTTCTAGATGGAACAGCACTGAAAAAAATCTGCATATAGGATTTAAGTGCAAGTTCTCGTTTAACACAACTACGTATTCTTGAGAGAATGGATATTTCGTCAACAGTTATCACTACTTTCAAATCTCGACGCTACTTATAATTAAGCTAGCGTCCACTCTTTTACAGGTCGTCGTGTCGCACGTATTTTTCAATTTTTTGTAAAATGAAACGCCATGTTGAGAGCATAAAACTAATAAAAACCAAATCCTTCTAATTTTTAAATCAGTATCATTACGGCATAGCTATAGAATACGTGCATTATCATTCCTTCAAAGCTAGGCCCTTAGAGACACTCTGGTGCTATTGAGTTCTCGCCTCAGTTGTTACTCTTTTGTAATTTCTATGGCTTGCATATATGTGTATATATGCAGCTTACTGGTCCGCTTCCTTCTCCCTAGGGGTTCTTTTGTGTCTGGCGTAAAAAGCTTTCCGCATTTTTCTGCCCCTGAAGGGGAACACCTATGGCTCAGCATGGAGGCTCGCCATTCGAGCTCGTTGTTCTTCTATCCTTCTGTATGAATATTCAATGGAAAGCCACAGAAAGACAAAGCGCGCAGGTCTTTTTCAGCATGTCATGACGATGCGTTACACAGATTTTGCCTGTAGCAGATATTCTTTATGATAGACAACATAGTACTCCTGCAGGTGGACAATATACGTACTTCTTTAGCTTACCCAGTTCCGACGCTCAAAAAATGTTGATTAACAAGAAGTCATCTGTCATTGAAATAGGAAATATCCAAGTGAAATATTATAAATTGGCGGTAAGTTTCCTCAGGTATAGCGAAACAGTTGACAGCGGACGAACACTCAGCAAGTCGTAAACGTGCTTCACGGAACCTTTCAAAGCTACAATGTTCTTTTTGTGGAGACGCTTTACAAAACTTTTTTTGTAGACAAATATTTACGGAAAATTAAAAAACTTTACTTCTTGGCGATCATGAGAGATTATAAGATTTGAGTCGCTGTGGAAACATTTGTTCAATATCTGAGAGCTGTTTTGGGTAGAGCCGGAGATGGACCATTTCAAGTTCTGCTAATACGACTTTTAGAAAAATCCCGGCAGACGTTGCAGAACGTTGATATAATTTTGCATAATCACCAATGTGTCGAGAAAAGAAGCTATCTTGGGTTTAAGTGACCTTATCCGAACATATTCAACCTTTTCAAAGATAAACTTTGCATTAAGCTACACCTACGGTACACCTCGATTTCGATGCATTTCTACAAACTTGCAAGAAAAAATAGTCTACTGTTAATGTTTGTTCATGTGTTACTACTGAAGACGGCCCTTCCTTTTACGGTTTTTACTCGTATGATACACCATATCATCCATAGAGTGACTGTTGAATTCAGATTTATGAAGTATTCCGTAGATGTCAATGATATGTCTTCGAATTAGATTTTCTAAATGTGATCATGAATTCATTTGTTTGTTGAAAGGTTTAGCTACGATGTATAAACGTTAAGTATTTAGTTGTGATTGAGCGGCAGCTGTTTCTTCAATGCAAATATATAGCCCTCGGTGTCTTGACAAGCGTTAAAGATGATTTTTGCCTTCCCCTACTTCGTGCCTTTACATGCTTTGCATGTTGTTGCATATCATACAGGCATAGGGATATATTGGTGCAAGATAATTAGACTGTTAGTAGAGGCACACCTATACCACGTAAAAACAAACGTCCGCAGGAATTTTTCATAATCTGAACTAGTACTTGCGCCACCAAAAATGATTACCACTTCACTGACGTGCGATACATTTTTCCTGGTTTTATGCCCGGATTTATATGTCCGGAAGGTTTAATTATGAGCTTATTCACACGATTATTTCGCATCTGCAAGTTGTAACGTACTACCGCTACCGCCTAATAATGAGCTAACATAAAAATATAGGTCAACATAATAATGGTATTTTTCTATCCACTAATCAGTCGCAAACATTTATAACGGCTTATACTTTTCGCGCCTCTAGTGGGCGTAGAAAAAATAGAAGTGCTCGGACAAAGTGCGTTATAAAATTTCTAATCTTCTCCTTAATTGAGCAAATGCTACTACAGCCAGCTATAAAGCAGATTCTACCACATTTTATTGAATATATGAAGTAGTGCGCTTTCAGGACTTCCGCAGTGGAGACAGGGCGCTCGAACCTTTCTGTCAACACCTTCCAAACCTATCCGAGCCCGTCCCGAGTCTCGCTTCGTAGTCGTCCTAGATTTACTGTTAAGCCATGATAATCTGTGACTGAACTCTATACTGGCCTTTTTTCACGTTGATGCAACTGTGCAGGGTCCTTTTTTCAGCTTTTCATCACGGAATTCGTACCTTGTTGCAAATGAAGAATGTCACAAGGCCAAAATACTACGACAGAAGCCCGCGAACAGTAGCTGCCGGAAAGCGAAGTAGGTTCCGGTGGGTCAGCTTGCTATTTCGCTACAATCTGGAACGGAGATTTTGTGTGCTGGATCGAAAGAACCCTTTGACGATCACCTGATTGCTGTGTCATCATAATAAAAACGTAATCAGTATTAGAGCCTACCTGCAGGGCTTAAACTATGTATCCTACCTAGTGTTCGTTGACTTCGGTAAAAGTTGGCTACAGGTTTAAGTGTAAACCTCATCTCAAGAAGAGTCAATGATAAAAGCCAACAAGACTCACTCGCGAAGAGACCGTAGTGGAGATGCCACTTGACTGCATTATACGGGGTTAATCACTGTATGTAGGCCTAGTTACGAAATGGCCTTCGATTCCACTGGACTTCAGCTCAGCCAAATGTTAGCGAGAGCTACATTTCTAAAAACGTTTCAAGTAGGGACTGTTTCTCACCGTAAGTTTCGAAACAGCTGGAGTGAGCCGGCCGCGCTAACACTGCGGCATAATATGGATAGATTTTTTTTTAGTAACATTCCCCATAAACTTACCGCTGCTTGTCAATGACATTAACGACAAAATTATGCACCGCCTCTATGTGAAACAGGTACATATGATGAGTGCGATAGATTACTCGCTAAGATGCAATTAAATACTTTGTATGGGTTCTACTTGTATCTTCATATGCAATGTGCTTGTGGTCACCCTTCTCAAAAAGCAATTGAGTGCAAATTCCCAGAAACAGGTTTTTTTTTGGCCTAGCTGAAGTCCAGCTGATTAGGATTGTTTGGCCGAAAACAGTGTGGCTAGTAAAGATGTCTTCTTACAGGTATTACTATTAACCTAACGTTTACGTACTTTTCTTTACTTTGACGTATGCTTTTTGTAGATAACATTGAAACGGATGTTAAGCGAAATGCCGATGTCATTAAGGTTACTGCTATAATCGTATGACATTCCTCGCAAGCAGAATGTATTGGAGCACCGCGGAACGCCGACGCTTGCTTGTTTGCTTTCCGTTATATTCTAGAATTAAACTTAATGATGGTCCTTACCCTAGGAAGTACCGCAGTGTGTTTTATCATTGAACCTTGCCTAAAAGGCTCTAGATTGCTAAAAACCGATATACTTTTAAAAATAGGATTTGTGTATACGTTTCTTTCGACCTTGTAGAAACGGTGGCATATTTTGCCCATAAAGCCAACGATTGGGCAAAAATAACACACTTATACTTTTTGTCAATTTTTTGAGATACTCTTTTTTTTCTCTCTCCGTCGGAGCTATGCAAGGCTGTATGGGCGGCGGCGGCGGCGGCGGCTTTAGATCGCCATAGTATGCTTTTATCGTTTGTGTCCTTACCAATGCAACTATAAATAACATATAAGAAAAGACCAAGGCTCTTCTACTTTGTTTTGCGCAATACTTTATTTAGGATATCAGACACTCTAGACATATTTATTCAATTACGTGCTAAGTTTTCTATCAACGCCATATTAGCCACGTTTCTACGCACAAATTTGAATGCCTATGCGATGGTCAAAGGCTTTTTCTATATACTCATATACATATATATAAGCCATGTGTTGAATGGTACCAGACTTGAGGCAATTTCGAAGATAGAGCGGAAACGACTAGTCGCATGGTGATAAAATTGTGGAAGTGGTCGGTCTTCGTTTTTCGTAGCTTCTTAGTTACCGTCGACATCATTTCCATAATCCTGTAATTCTCCGAGATAGAGCAGTGCTTCTCGTTGAGAGAAAGGATGGTCTTCATGAGAACTAAGAATAATCATTTTTTATGTAATATGGCAATTCTGCAATGTTGAAGTAGATATTTGCGATTGAACATCTATGTTAATGCTGATTTAATGAAGTATTTACGTTATGTGTAAGTATTTTGCGTTTATTTTTAGATCTATTTGCAATTTTATTTGGTACAACAAAACTTCCCTCAGGTGTCGTTTCCGCCGTGCGGCCCTCAGGGAAAGGCGTTCGAAATTCCAAATTTCCATTGTTAATGCGTAAATTAGTCCTTTTAGCCTGGCGTAAGGGCAAAATGTATATTTCACACAAGCCAGTTAAGAGTTCGATGTAGTTGCCATCTGCGTGTGTAGGTCTGTTGACATCTGTATACGCGTAGTGTCGACAAGAATCACAAAATGATTAATGGGACAGATTAAGGGACAAATATGAGAACTTACTACTAAATAGGCGAATTATTGAAGGATTTATACGATCCGGCAAAAGTAAAATCTGAGACTGATCAAGTCGGCTTGTTCCGATCGTCTACACACCTACCGTTTGATATTCTCCAAGTTATTATATAGCAGTAATTTTTATAGCTATTCGTTATGTTGACGAACCTGAAAGAGTATGTTCATGAAAACAGAAGACTAAAAAAATAAGTAAGATTTGCATAATGAACCCGCAAATGCTGGGATTGTCATTCAACAGTAAAAACTTTTAAACAACGATATTTGAAGATTTGTAACAACCAAGGCAGTCCGCGTGTACCTCACAATATTCGCTATTCAATATAAGAGCATACGACATGTCTGAAAAACAACAAAATTAAGATTAAAAGATGTACATATTAGAATATACAGGCAATCACATTCGGAAGTTGTCTTTTATAAGATTTTAGGAAAATAGCTTGCCGTCCCTTTTTTACGTAATGATGCTTTTTCGTGATGGGTCACAAAAATAACTTTATATAATATTCTCCTTAATCCGATTTCTTATGGCACTCTGCTGTCGGCCCCTGAGCCTAAGGGAAGCAAGGAGGCAAAGGGGGGGAGGGACCTTGGGCCTCGTTTCTTACTCGTACGGCCTAAAGTGTACGAGCGGGAATTACGGCGATGGTGGTATGCAAACTGCCGGTCTTCAAGGTTAAACGATATTTGCAAAGGCCACCCTGTAGTCCCTTGATGTACTGCTACGACAGAAAGCGCCGCCATCAATGTTACGGTCCACTGGCATTAGGGACGATGCGCGTTTACTATGAAGGATATCCTATTGCGACGACGATTATGGTGGGCGGTGAGCGTATCGGCGAAAAAGTGCACTTAATACAAAAGTAAACAGACAGAAGAAAGGCTAGAAAAACAGTGACTACAACACGATTCGTTTGTACGGCGCCTAACAGGAACAGTTTTAGTAGTAGCGACTACGATAAAGAAAACAGTATTGAATCAAACGGGCATAAGCGACAGCGTCAGTGCGGTGATTGACATGGCAAGTCACGATAAAAGAAATGCTACCGTTTATGTGGAGGCTGGAATTGAGGCGTGCTTTATCATGCCCGAGATAAGTCCGAAGGACACATTTTGGAGAATTGTCATAACGAGAATGCATTCATCCGCTAGGTTGGCTTCTTTGCATAGGGAAGGTTAGTTCCTCATGTAATCAAAGACTTGTTACAAAACAGGCGAAAGAGTCGGGTTGGAAATATGAGCGAAAATCAACTTACGGTGTTTCTAGCCTCCGCACAGCTGCTAACGAATGTTAACGCACAATAGGAAGTAAATTGGCCCAAAAGCCATTCGTGCATCCTAAAATCTTGGTGTGGAAATTAGCTGGTGTTTTCAAGGGAAAAACGCCTTTCATTGCTTCGTGCAGTAAACATACCTGTCTGTCTCTTTGAAGTGTTTAGAGTAGCACGGCCCTGCGTTGCTGTAACATGTGGTTAAACACCAGAAAACTAAATCTTCCTGATAAAAGCTTTCCGTCGTGTCTCAGGGTCAACAAGGCGAGATTTAGAGCCCACGAAGACAACCTTCTACTGCTACACCGTTATTCATAGCTGATATTGAATAGATATAGCAAAAAAAAAAGTAGTAAAAAGTCACTAACCTAAATGAAGAACATTTTGGCTTAATTTTTTTTTTAATATATATATATATATATATATATATATATATATATATATATATATATAATTAATGACAATAATTCGACGATTTTGGTTTTCTCTCTAACCTAGAGATGCTATCAGTTGTCTTCATATTGCCTTAGTAGTTACAAGAAACTGCTATTGGTAAAGGCTTTCATTATTATCCAGCTCAATGCGGAGATATCATTAAGTCACCGAAACGATAGACTTTTTTTTATTATGTGTAAGTCAAATCGTATCGAGATAACCGAACACGCCTGTTTTATTCGTGCTTAACTCAGACTCCAAAACGCTGATGTTCATCAAAGGTATCTTATGAGGGGAATACATTGAACACGAGGACATATCGTAATATGGGTTTAGGGTTATCAACTTAGCGTATACGCGTAGAGTTCCACATGAATGAAATGGTTTGAATTAAAAGAAAGTTGTATGTTACATATTTTCTAATATTAATTGCTTTCCTATTTTTTTCCAAGTTTACTAATCTCTGAATGCGATATTTTGCTGGAATAACATAGAATAAGTATGGTCCCTGCGTAAAGATCAGAAAAATATGTGTATATATAAAATCGTGTAGATCTAATTTTGATCAGCCTTTCCTTTAGAAATTTTTTGAATTTTACGTCTTTCCGACGCGTGGCAATGTCACAACAAAACAAAATTGAACTAATTCTCAGCAGTCAACTTCTAGTTTATTATCTTCTCGCTATAAGTCTGGAATAGGTTATCCAAGTTGCTTTAATATTCTACTAGAAGTTAGTGTTCAGGAATAGCTGCTGGAAGGCTTCTCAGCATTTTTCTCGTCATTCATGCATAGCACACGAGACTGCCGGAGAAGAGCAGGGAAATAGGAAATGCAGCCACATCAAACTATTAGCCGATATCGAAGCGTGTCGAGGTTTCGCTCGTGATGAGTCACGTTCAAAAACCTTCAGCTTCAGTAACCACAGTCGTCGACAATCTTCGAGTGACTCGTCACCAATTGGCTAATTCAGCAATTGGCATGCTCTTGTTCTCAAGGATGTTATAACAGCTTCAGCTGCATCGCGAAGCCTATCTATACTTCCCCTCCAAGTCGAAGGGAATAACTTTGAAATTTTGGAGTAGTTAATTAGATAAGAAAGGCGTTATACAAATTGCAAGAAAAATACAAAAAACTATTATGGATATTTATTTTGTGTATTTCATATATGCAGTTTAATGCAAACGATGTAGAAAACGAAGGTATATTCAGGTTTTAGTATGGCCAACAAATGCGACCTAAGTTTAATGCCACCTTTCAGAAACATTACTCTTTTGCGGCTGATATTTACGTTTGCACTTTCCTCTAAGTTCACGTTTGCAATTTAAATAATAGAAGAGCATAACATGATTTTTCAACGTTTTTTTTCTATGACACATCACTCAATTACAACAAGAGTAAATTAAAAA